AGATACCCTACAGTGTGTCAGGATGTTTACCTGGTGATGTCCTACTGTAATGACCTTTTACAAAGGAACCTAGGGAAGAAAGGGGCTAAACAATTCTTCCTCCCTGCCTGTAATAAATAAAATGAGGAATTACTCTTGATGTGCAAAATTTTTCCATCATAAATAGTATTTCCTATTACCAGATATCCAATTGCAAGCATGTTAACTAGGGCAATAAACAAAGTTTGTTTTGAGCTCTTTGGGTACAATTTCCTTCAAGTCAACTTGATTTCTGATGACTTCCCGGACATCTCCTTTTAAGTTTCTTCCAATATGGCAGCAGTTTGCCATTGTCTTTTTCTAGAATTTTTTTTTTTTTTTAACTTCCCAGGCTAACCTACAGACTTGGGACTCCCTGGATGAGAAGTCTCTCATTCAAGTACTAAGGTTTTGCTTAGCTTCTGGGCCCAGATAAGGTGCTTCTACCAGTTGAGACAAAAGCAGAAATGAATTTAAAAGGTTCTTTCTATTATATGATACTTCAGCCATACTTGTCTTTGGGTCCTAAATTGGAAATTGACTTAGACTAATTTGGAGGCCATCCAATTCTGTTGGGGTAAGCAGTTTGGTAACTCTAAAATTCCATTGTTTAGTAGACAGATTTTATATAAAGAATATTGTCTCCTATACAACATCAAACTAATGAACAGAATAAATGCTATATACATATTTATTAGTAGTTTATAATATAATATAACTTCAAAGTTGATGATGACCTTGATGATGATGACAACAGGAAGAAAGGCCCATAACATTTTGTTAACATTTCAAAGTGCTGGTTTTGACCTATGTTCCTTGGCTGTATATTTCTTGGCTCCAGGGTGCCTTAGGAATCATCTTGTCCAGATAGAGTGTGCTTGGCCCATCCCATCCCTATGATAATTCAATGGGAATTGAATCTCAAAGCAATCCTTCTCTGTTGTGGCCTCGATGCACTGGAAATGGACTTGGTACCCTTCTATTAGTCTTCCCCTAGGTAGTTAAAATATTATTGTCTGAACAGACATTGAGAGTTTGATTGTGCTGAGTTGTTTGGGTGACTTTGTTTTTAAACCCTATTGTAAACTGCCAGGAGTCATTTGAACAGGACACTATAATTGTAATATATAAATACACAGATTTTTTTTTAAAAAGTGACTATATTGCTTGAAAACTTCCTTGCCCTCTGTAGAAAAAATAATAATTCAAACATTGAATTGAACTATATAATTGAACTATATCAACAATCCGTTGCTCCAAATGAGGTGTATATATCTCCTTCCATACTTATTTGGTGAATCTACAACCCCTATGCCAAAAATGCCTTAATTCTTGGTGCCTTAGTAATTGCTTTCCCCACTTCCACCCTCACAACATTTAAGTGTTCCTTGAAAAGAAACTTGTCAAATTTGGTAGTCTATATGTGTCATTGAAATAGACTTTGGACGCAGGAAGAAAAGAACTATAAGAGTTCCCCTACTCCTCTAATATCTTGTGCTTGTATGAGCAGTCACACACATTGCTCTGTGAAAAGGACCAGGCAATTTTTTTCAGTTGAACTGAAAAAGACATTACAGAGGAAGAATTCCAAAACTGGGTGTGTCACAATAAAACACTTCATGTTAACTAGGACCAATACGATAACAGAGGGAATGGGGGAAGGTAACAGGCCCAGGACAATTTATTCTAGCAGACTAACAAGTAAATTTGAGTTAGAAGAAAGATGAACATGAATTTGAAGGATGAGTTCGGGTTTACACGAAACTAGAATCACAAAACTCCCTCCTCCCCCCCCATGAAAGCAAAACAAACAAACAAACAAACTCTTTAACTGCTCCTGCTTGTTTGAGCCAGAGTGCTAGTAAACAGCACAGACAAGACCTGAGCACTAAGGTTTAACATTCCTCACCCAAAGCACAGTGATTGCAGAGTCTTGGC